CCTAATACCTGTTGTAAAATGGGAAGATTTGAACTCAAGTCTGAGCTTTTAACCACTGTGCTTTTTCTCACAATGATAATACCCATTGTATCGGATTGTGAGGATTAAAGGAGTTAATTCATGTGAAAGTGCTTAAAACAGTGCCTGGATACTCTCTCCTCTCTCTACCTCTGTCCTCTGTCTTCTCCCCTCTCCCTTCTCCTCTCTCTGTGTATATACACATAAAATCTCAGAAGAAAAGGTTTTCTCAGCACCAATCGATGAACTGGTCACTTAATATATATGACGTATGTGATCTCACTTAGTCCTCACAATTTCCTACAAAATAGATTGTATTATTATTCCCATTGTATATGAGAAACTAAAGCTCCAAAGAAAGGAAAGCAAAATAGACACATGGAGAAGGAACCATAGTGAGAATGAAAATGCAAATCTAGAGTGTTCTCTGTGACACACTTCATTTGAGTTCTGTGACTTTACTGTGTATGGCTCCCTTCTCTACTCTTCTCATTTCTCTTTCTGCATAAGCAAACTAATAAATAAAAATAAAAATCAGTTACTGCCTACATGCCAATCCCTTCCTAGATCAGAAACCACTCTCTCAAACTCCAGTAAGAAAAAGGTACTACATAAAATACATAATCACCTAATCACCCCAGAGGCATCTCAAATTGTGTATGCCCAGATAGGAATTTGTCATCTCTCTCTACATAGAGTCCTACACCTTGACCCCAAACCTGGTGTTGCTCATGTATTCTTTTTCAATGAATAGCATCCAACCAGAAAATCTGGGATCCATCCTACATTCCTTCTCATCCACATACTACGTCTAATCAGACCCCAGGTCCTATTGGTGTTTGGATCAAAATCAAGTCCTGTGGATTTTATCTTTAAAAAATTATTCTTCTGTGCTTCCCCATCCCCCCATTTCTACTGCCCTGGTTCAGGCCTTCATTTCCTTTGCCTGGTCTCCGCACCTCCATGGTGAGCTTTCTCACCCAGGTAGCTGATCATGCTCTCATTCAGTGGTTCCCATTGAGTGATACTGTCAATTTCTTAGCACAACAAAGCTCTTCTAAACCTATCTGAGCCTCTGTCTCTAACTGTATCTCCTACCACACTTTTCCCTGGCCCTATACCCTTTGTCAAACCAAGCTATCCCTGGTTTTTTAAAACGAATAGCTTTTCTGCCCTCCTGCTTTTGCTGCTCCCTTAGTTTTATCCTACTCTCTTTTCTTCTGGAAAAACTCATCTTCCTCCAAGTCTGTTTCCTCAAAATCTCCCCTGACCTACCCAGGCACTTAAGCCCTATTTCAGTGATCCCAGGGTACCTTGTTCACAGCCCAATACAGTATCTATCATGATATATCACAATTATTTTCCATTACATAAGCTTTGTAATTTATTTATTTATTTTTTCCCCCAAAGCCCCGGTAGATAGTTGTATGTCATAGCTGCACATCCTTCTAGTTGCTGTATGTGGCACGCAGCCTCAGCTTGGCCAGAGAAGCGGTGCATTGGTGCACGCCCATGATCCGAACCCGGGCTGCCAGCAGAGGAGCGTGCGCACTTAACCGCTAAGCCACAGGGCCAGCCCTACATAAGCTTTGATAGGATTTTTTTTTTTCTATCTTTGCATCCCCACAAGCTAGAATAATGCCCAATGCAGAATAAGGCTCCATTGATATTTGTTGCAGAATGAATGACCAAATGTGAAAGGTTTGAGAGCCACTATGAAAATTTCTTACTCTAAAGCACAATCACTGATTTAGGAGAGAATTATCTTTTTATTTATGTTGTTTTGCAGTTTACAAATCACTTTCTAATTTACCTTATTTTAACATCACCACTATTGGAAATCAGGAAAGGCAATTACTATATCCAAGTAATACAGATGATAACAGAGGCTCATCAGACATGCTGATTTGCTCAGACTACAGCAGGTCCCATTAAAGGGACTTGACTCCCAAGTCCAGTGCTTCAACCTTTTACAGATTTTATACAGGCTGCCAAGTGAGTGCAGAGAGGAGACAACGGAGACACTCAATCCAAAATTTCCACTTCTCCACCTAGCCAATACCTTGGACTACAATAGGGTCCGCAAGTCTCCAAGGCTACAGAGACAGATTAATGTGGTCAATGAGGGTGTGGGCTTTGGAGTCAGATGGACTTAGACTCCAATCCTGGCCCCACCATTTACTATGTGACTAAGTTACCAAACCTCACCCAAACTACATTCCTCCCCAAAACACAGGGATAATACCTACCTCTCAAAGTTATTGTGAGGTCTCAAAAGCATGTAGGACAATTATTCTTCCAACATTTATAGAAGACCTATTAAGTGCCAGTTACTGTTCAGAGGGTAAACCCCACAGTGTTGGGTAAATGCTAGTGATTATCTGGCAGGGCCACGTGTTCTCCACTGCATCCACGGGGTCCATGCCCCACCTGGCAGGGTTGCTATACTCATACCAGCCCCACCAGGAAGAAGCACTGCAGATCAAGGGTGATTATATTCCAGGAAGGAGCCCACTTCTCTTTCCCATTGCTACACTGAGAGGAAGGTCAGGGTCAAGCTTTCTTGCACCCAGTTTCTGCAAGGACAGTCCAGAAATAGATGTTAATATGATCAAATCTCTCAAATAGCAACCTCCCAAGGAGGACAAGAGGGTCACAGGAGGTAAAGACGTCCCTTTCAATCAGCGGCCCAGGAGTCGAGTTAGAAAGAGTGGAGCTAACTCTGCTGCCTCTTAGAGCAGGTATCCTTAGTCCAAAGTCAGGAAATGATGGGCTTGAGGTGGGCGTGCATTGGTGGGTGGGAGTAGGGGATGTATGGGATCCACCTTGGAAAGTTATTTTTATGAATTTGTATGAAAATTTGTGTGTATGCATCTCCTAGAAAGAAGATCCATTACATTTATCAGCTTCTTAAGGGTTCATGCCCCTAAACATGAACCACTTTTTAAAGATGATTAGGAAGGAGGAGAGAAGGGAAAGAGTCTTAGTTCTTTCCATTCAGGGCAGTCTCTCTGCTAGCCTCAGCTCAAAACTGCTACAAACAATGCTGTCTCACATCTACTCCCCACCCGAGTCTGACCTCCAGCCCATGGTACCCCAGAAAAGAGACACAGAGGGACCTCGGGGATAAAGGTCTTTATTCAACAAAGTTATCTCACTTGGTAACAAAAGAACAGGAGGTAACAATTCCCTCACAAGTCTGGAGCAGTGTCCACTCCTGGCAGCAGGAAGCACGGCCCACTGACAACAGCTGCAGCTCAAAGGCCCTGGTGGCCACTTAGAGGTCATAGTTGGGGTTCTTCCGAAGGATAACAAAACCTTCCAAAATGGGGGTGACAGGAAGAAACTCCTCAGTGGCCAATTCTGCCCGTTCCCCGTGGGCCAACAACACTGGCGTTGTGTGTGTCTGGAACCCTGTGATGGTCTTAGGCTTGCCGGCCTGGCCCACCACATCCACTGCCTGTAGGATAAGAAAATTGAGATGAAGGGACTCCAAATGGGAGTGTCGCAGCAACCCAGTGCTCACACCAGTTTGAGAAAAGCAGGTATATGTGCACTCTCCAAGTTTTAAAGTACAGTCATGCATCACTTAATGATGGGGATATGTTCTGAGAAATGCATTATTAGGCGATTTCATCGTTGTGCAAACATCATAGAGTGTACTTGTACAAACCTAGATGGTGTAGCCTACTATACACCCAGGATCTATGCTACTGATCTTATGGGACCATCATTGTATACACGGTCCATCATTGACTGAAACATTGTTATACAGCACATGACTGTACAGCCTGAGCCCTCCCCTCTGCTCAACCCCTCACCTGGCCCACACGGACAGATACTGGCAATGGCCGCAGCTCCTCATCGAATGTAACCAGCATTCGGGGCTGCATGGCAGCCACCAGCCCATACAATACATAGTGTGATTTGCCGAGGATGACTGAGGGAAGAACACAGGACAAACATAGTTACAGGCATCAAGGCAGGCCTGGCCTGAACCTTGGGACCCCACTCCAGCCCTGATTCTTTAACCCCTGTCATAGCTGAACCCACACTCCTCCCCTCATATACCATACTATGAGCCAGAGATGCCCCCACTTTATTCTGCCCATGGCCCTTAGACTCGATAATCACTTTTCCCCAGTCCCTCAGAAATAGAAACGGGGCTAAGTTCTTCAACCTCAAAAGAAAATTTCTCCAGGTCAGATCAAAAGTGTGGGAGATGAAAGTCTCATGAGGCCCACCACAGGCCCAAAGAACCTCAGGAACCCAGGATGGTACAGAGCTACCTCAGAGTCTTGCTCCTAAATTACCAAGGTGGCCCTGGTAGCGGTGGAGACAGGGCACCACTTGCCACCATATAAGATTCCTGACAGGAACTCACTGTTGCGGACATCCAGAAAAGAGACAAGCACAGTGAGCAGCCCAGCCACAGCCACTTGACTCATAAGCTGCCGGTCACTGTGGTAGGGGCAGAGGGTGAGTGTCCCCTTCCCTAAATGTGTCAGCCCCTGAAAAATACAGAGAGAAGTGCAGGTGGGGAATCACATCTGAGAAGACATCACCTAACCCAGCCACATAAAAATCTCACAACTTGCTCACATCCTCCCTCCAAGCCGAACTCCAGGTCCCCTTCATGTCACATGTCTCCCTTGCCTCACCACAGATACTTCCCTTGGCAAACTCCAAGGAGAAGAGTTCTATTCTTTACCTGCGCCAAGCGCACCATGAAGAGGTTGTTGGGGTCCTTGGCATGATACTGGGCTAACTGGCGCAGCATTGCAGCTAGACGGGCATTATTGGTCCCTGGAAATGTTAAACATTACAGAGGCTTGAAAAGGGGGCCTCGAACCCTCCCCCAAGCTGCTTACGATCTTTTTCTGACCGATACTCACCACTGCCCACCATGCCCATGGCAAAGATGGAGTTATAGGAAACTTCTGGATCAGCATCATGAGAGAATTTACTTAGGGTATCCAGGATGTTGAGTCGTGGATTTGAAACAGAAATTAAGGCCAGTGCTAAAGGCACAGCCCGTCGGAGTGTAGGCTCCCCGTACCTGAGCTGGTGGTAAAAGAAAATAACAAGGGTATCACAGAAAGCAGTGAAAACGAGGTCGGATACAGGAACAGATTGATGGATAAAAGGGGGTTTAATCAAATTTTGTAGAAAAGGCACTGCAAAAAGACCATTTCTCCACTGAGAAAACCCATCAGGAAGGTCTCCTCTGGGGAAACTCAGAAATCAAAACCAGTATATTCCCATCTTCTCCATGTGCTACTCACCAGGTGGCCAAAGGTTCGTAGTGCCATCTCTGCACCAATCTCCTCCCCCATAGCAATGAGGGCAATCCCCAGCACAGCCACTCCCTGCAATTGAAGAGGAGCAGAACCCAGTGAGCTCAGGGAACAAAAACTTACCCTTGACTCAGGTTCCCATCTAAGAAGAAAAAGCAGTCCTGTGGGGCACACCCTTACCCCTCAAGTATAGAACCCAGTCTCATGCTATTTCAACACACAGCAATACCCAGGAGGGCTCTAAAACAAACCCAAACCCAGCTCCCCTGCTCCCCTCATGCTTATCTTTTCTCAGAGCCTCACTCAGAGAGTGCCCAGCTACCCACAGAACCTGATGTGCTCCCATGTCAGCAGGGGCCTCCTTCTTGTCCTTGTCCTTCTTTTCCTTCTTGTCTTTGTCTTCCTCCTTTTCCTTGGAATCAAAGTGCTCACTGCAAATGTGGAGCAGCTGCTGCACCTTCAGCACATTCCCGGATCCTGCGGCAGGGTGGTAAGGGGAAGAGAAGGTGGAAATGAGACAGCACCAAGGAAAAGCTGACTCCAGGAATAGGAGAAGCTAAAGAATCTAAAGCAGATCAGAACAACTGAGAAAGGAGAAACAGGGCTGGCCCCATGGCTTAGCAGTTAAGTGCGCGCGCTCCGCTGCTGGCGGCCCGGGTTCAGATCCCGGGCGCGCACCGACGCACTGCTTCTCTGGCCATGCTGAGGCTGCATCCCACATACAGCAACCAGAAGGATGTGCAGCTATGACATACAACTATCTACTGGGGCTTTGGGGGGAAAAATAAATAAATAAAATTTAAAAAAAAAAAAGAAAGGAGAAACAACCTGAAAAAACGTCCCAGAGAGAAGTGAGGAGTCACTGGGGAAGCACGAAGACACAGACCTGCATAGGCACACACATCCACCAGTGTGTTGGCAAAACTGCGGAATGGCTCTGACACAACCTCCAGCGCAGCCAGGATTGCCTCGATGGCCTCTCCCTTCCCTACAGGACAGATTCAAAGGGTCAGAGGACACTTGCTTCTATCCAGCACACTCTGACCCGTAAACCCTCCTTGTTGTATTCAGTTACTGTCAGCCATTTGCTCAGACAGACAGACATCCCCTCACCCAGGTGGTTGAGGCCCAGTCCAAGAGGAAGCCAACGGGCATAAGTGTCCTTGAGCTCAGTCTCTGACTTCTCCATGATGGTCTGAAGGATGGTGGAAGTGACATCTCCATTGCAGGATCCCACTGCTATCATTCCACAGGCTAGAGCGGTCACACCTGCCACCTACAAATAGGAAAATCAATATTACACATAGTAAGTTACTAAAATAGTTGTTGACCTATCCTGATTCAAGATAGCCAATTCCTACAGTCCACTGTAACCACACTAGGTAATAATCCCTTTCTCAGGGTAGGTCAAAATAACAACAGCAGCAAGCACTCTCTGAATACTTACATCAGCCGCTATGCCAACTGCTTTGCACACTATTAACATTTAATCCCCATGACAACCCCATGAAACAGGTCCTGCTGTTATTCCTCTTTTATTGACAAGAAAAATAATGCCTAAAGAGATTGACTTACAGGTCCAAAATCACATTGCTTGTAAGCAGAGGTGGCAGGATTTGAACTGAAGTCTTTCTCATTAAAACCTATGCTAGCCACCATACTATATTTTTCCATCGCTGAAACAACTCTGCACAAGTAAGAAAATTTAAGGTTGGCCAATGACTAAAACGTTGAGGAGGAATCACCCACCCCAACCTGGGTTAAGTTACTCTCCCCTCTAGTCTGGTACTTCCTCATGGATCCCAAGGGCTGGAACTCAATAACAAAATGTTAACTCTTTAGCCTCAACACCACCTGAGACTTAGAATCCCAGTCCCAAGAGATTTCAGTGAAGTGATACACCTCCCCTCCTCTCGCTCTCACACACACTTCTTTTTTCACTGTTTATCACAGAAAGTGGTAGGACTCAGAGCACCTTCCCTACCTCCCCTAAATGACTAACAGCCTCTACTCACCTCCATACTGGACTTGGAATCTCCCATCACAGGCAGCAGCAATGTCAGAACATCTTCACGATTGGAGCCGGCATAGGCCAAGCCTAGCCTGCAAAAGCCAGGAGAGGCAGTCCCCAACACACACCCAAGGATAGGACAAGGAAGGAACAAAAAGAGGACTGGTCATTCATTCATCATTTCAATGGTCACCAAGAGCCAAATAGTCGACAGGCGTGGTGGTATTCCTTGGCAATACAAAGGTGAAAAGGGCCCAGCTCCTGTTTTCACAGAGCTCACAGGCTGAGTGACACCAGAAGAAGCAAGAGGCCTTACCCAAAGATGGAACCAAGTCTCATGGTGTTGCTGTTGTGGAGAACATAGTCTGAGAGCAGTGCCAGGGCAGGGTCACACTCATTCCGGACCCCAGAGTTCACGATGCCACAGGCCAGGAGGGCTCCTGACTGAAAAATGCAAACAGAGTCTTCACTCAGGCTACTCTCCCTTCCTCACCACAAAGGATGCAACATGGGCCTCATTGTAGCAACCACCTTAACTGGAGTTAAAAATCCAGTAGGCCTTACCACTGAAAGGGAAGCCCTCTGTGCCCTAGAACATAGGAGGGGGTTGTCCCCATTAGTGGGCTATGTCCAGACCAACCTTGATGTAGTCCTCAGAGGAGTACAGGTACTTGTCAATCTGGGTGAGGCCACCATCCACATCCCACAGCAGAATCATGCCAAGGGACGCAGCTGCACTCAACATTCCTAAAACAAGGAAAAACCTATCAGTCTTAAAATGGCCCTGTCCTGAGAAAACTGTTACAGAGAGCTCTCTAAGGAACTGTGCTGGGGATCCCTTGTCAGGTAACATATGAACCTAAGAGGACAAGAGTGACCAAAGCAATGTAAAGATAAAGCAAAAATGGAATTATACCATGGTCCTTATTCTTGTAAAGCCATTTGTTGCCATCATCAGTCAGCAGCTTGTCCTGACCAAAGGCTGCATTCACAAAGCCATTCACAAAAGAAGAGGCCAGGTTCATGCGAGCAGAGTCCACTTGAGAGCCACTGCCCCCAAACCCTGCACAGGAGGGAGAGGAGAGGAAAGGAAGGAAGGTTTAGAGCAGGGAAGGAAAGGAACACAGCATGGCGGCTGGTCTCTGGTTCTGAGCTGGCCCCTTAGGATCCTCTATCTATGCCCCCAACAGTGACCTGCAGAAAAGCTATGTGGGAATTCTGAGCTCTACAGGGTAAGGATGTTGGGCCAAGCCATCACTCCCAATACAAGGGGCATAATTAACAATCCTCCAATCCCCACACACATGGAGATGGCTACTCACTGTTGTTCTCTAGGTGGGTTTTATAGATGTCATCAGGCACCTTGGGCTCCATGATGTCCAGCTGAAGAGAAGTCAGAGGGTCACAACTGCTCCCCTAGTCCTCCCCTAGCTGTCCCTTCTGCTATCCCACTGAACGGCAATTCTAACCAAGGAGAGTCTAGTCAGAGGTATAGTCAGGAAGGTGTATTGCCAGGGAGAATCACAACCAAAAAATACTTGATGGAAAAGGGCAGTCTCACCTCCCGAGCTAATGCCAAGAAGTTGCTGTTGAGTTGCACATTGGACATGATCTCTGTCAGGTCCTCATACTCTTCCACATCTTCACTCAGCTCCAGAAACACCCCATGCCGGCCTAGCATGAATGCCATCTGCTTCTGTACTACCCTGTGGGAGACAGCCATCACATCTGCTCAGCCCCCGACCACTAATGGCACAGAAAAGCCCCTCAAGCCCTACCCAGAAACTAGAAGTCCCAGCTCTTCATGCAAATGCCCCATCCATGAACGTAGCTCTTCTTCTGCCAACTTCTTCCCTACATACACATCCTTGCAGGAAGTGAAGATGTCTTCTACCAGCTCCATGTCATTGAGCATCAGTGCCAATCTCAGAGCTTCGGGGAAACGACTGAACTTTCGGAACACACCCAAGGCACAACGCAGCAGGGCAGAGTTCTCAGGCTCGGGCACATAATTTACACAACTACAAAGGTAAAAACAATAAAGGAATCAGAAAGTCCCAGATGTTCATTTACCCCATTTAATTCACTTACTCAAATTAAATAGTGAATGCCTAGTATATACAGGCATTATGCTAGATGCTGGACTACTAAGGAGACAAGAAACCTCTGTCCTCAAAAAGCTCATAGACATCAACAGATTAACCACAGCCTGATGCTACCTGTGAAACAGATGCTCAGGGAGAACAGAGGAGGCACAACTGAGAAAGAAGTGCTGGCGAGGGTAAGCCTGCCACCATTCCCTACCATGCTCGCTCACCTGGTAAGATACAGGCAGACCTTTGCATATGCATTCTCGTCAATGTCTTTCTCCAGCATATCCACTTGCTCAATTTCCATGAGTAGGTCGCAAGCCTCATGCTCTGCATTGTGGGCCATGTTGTAGGGGACAATCTCCTTCACCAGGGTCAGCAGTGGCTCCCGCTGTGTCTTCTCTGCGTCATCCAGCTCCTGCCACTCCTTAGCCACTTCTCCTGCCAGATGCCTATGGATAGGCCCAGACCATTAGGGGAGCACAACTTCACAGGAAGCACTTCCCTGTGGGTCAAGGAATTCAGGGTCTGGGAAACTCAATACACTTGTACTCCAAGACAGACAGTACTCCAAGACAGAACTCAGAATTATCTATCTCAGAACCTCCTTTATAGAACCAAGAAGAAAAGGTCTTACCTGACGTACTCATGACCCCATGATGCCAATTCCTCCTGGGAGCCCACTAGCCGATACTTGAGGCACTCACGCTCCCCACTCATGGTCATGGCCAAAACAGAGATGATGTCAGCAGCAAAACGCTAGAAAGAAAACAGTCTTTTGAAGTCAAATCCAGGGTAGAGACTACGAATTTTATTCTAAATGCGATTAAAAGGTTTTAATGGGGGCTGGCCCGGTGGTATAGTGGTTAAGTTCACACGCTCCGCTTTGGTGGCCTGGGGCTTGTGGATTCAGACCCCGGGTGCAGACCTACACATCGCTTATCAAGCCAAACTGTGGCAGCATCCCACATACAAAATAGAGGAAGACTGGAAGATGTTAGCTCAGGGCGAATCTTCCTCACCAAAAAATAAATAAATAAATAAAAGGTTTTAAGCAGAAAAGACACACAATCTAGAAAGATCATTATGGCTGCTGTATGAAAGACAAACTGTGTAAGGGGTCAAGTACAAAAGGGAGAAGGCCAGTTAGGAGGCTGCTGTAGTAATCCAGGCGAGAACTGAAGATTTCTTGCATTCGGGTTGTACCAACAGGCAGAGAAGTGATTGAACTGGGGATATATTTTAGAGATAAAACAAATGAACGTACATAGACTATGAAGGGAAAAAAAAAATTAAGGTTAAATGTAAATTAATAGATCACGAAAATGAAATCCCAAGGTCATCACAAATGACAGAAACAGTGTCTTCTGAGAAGGCGGTCTTCCTGCCAGCTCTTATGTGAGTATTTTGACTGTGATGAGCTCTATTCGACAAACTCAGATCTCAGGTCTATCAGGCTTCCTGTGATTCACCATGAGTTCCATGCTCTAGATGAGCTAGGCCTCCACTAGCTTCTTTTTTTGTTTGTGTGAGGAAGATTAGCCCTGAGCTAACATTCATGCTAATCTTCCTCTTTTTGCTGAGGAAGACCAGCTCTGAGCTAACATCCATTGCCAATCGTTTTTTTTTTTTTTGTTCCCCAAAGCCCCAGTAGATAGTTGTATGCCATAGCTGCACATCCTTCTAGTTGCTGTATGCGGGACGCGGCCTCAGCATAGCCGGAGAAGCGGTGCATCGGTGCGTGCCTGGGATCCGAACCCAGGCCACCAGTAGTGGAGCGCGTGCACTTAACCGCTAAGCCACGGGGCCGGCCCTCCACTAGCTTCTGAAATAGTTTTACCTTATTCTCCCCAGGGTCCATGTTCTCATAGATTTCCTTCAATTTGCCATAGTGTGGACGCAGAAATTTGAGAGGCTTGGGCACTGAAGTCATGGAAGTTGTAGAAGAACGAATCTGCCTCCTCAGTTCCTCCAGGGCTGGTCGGTACAAGGATGTGTCCTTCTCCTGATCAAGGGATGTTAAGGCTCAGACAAAAAGGAGTCACATCCCTCAAGTCATAATACAGAGGTGTTTTACTAACAACTCCCCTAGGAAAGTAACTGTGTTTCATTCATCTGTGATTCCCCAACTCCCTGCACAATACCTGGCACAAAAACAAACGACCCCAGTTAAGAGTTCAAGAACTGCTTCTCCCAAGAGAGAAAGCTACAAAATCTTTCAAATATCCTTTGTTACTCTCCTCCCTCACAACATGGTCATAACACTGACCCTAAAATACAGTCCATCTTTCCCTATATCTCACACAGTAGTTGTTGCCCCCCAAATGGAATAAAGCAAACAAGTGGGAAAGACTCAAGACATGCACCTGCTCATGTTAACACCATAACTCACCCCCAGTCGTTCCACAAGCATCTCCAGTTCATCCTGAAGTTGTTTGTCCTCCTCAGACTGGAGGGTTGGGGGAAGAAGGTCATCAAGAGAAGGAATCCCAAACACATCCTCCTCCTCCCATCCACCCTGGGGCAGGTGGAGAGTGAGTCTGCCTCCTTAGGAGGGCCCAGGTGGACAAGGAAACAGAGTGGGAATGGGAAGCCCGGGCGGGAAGGCAGCCTGGCTTCTGGGCCAGGCTCTGCTTGAATGCCGATCTAAAAAATGGGGGTGACAATGACCCGCCTGGGCCCATGTCACCAGGCGGTGGTGAGGGCTGGTGGGGGCGGCGGAGGCGACAGCGCCGAATGGAAGATGAGGGACAGAGAGGCGGGGTGCCGGTAGCCCCGAGGGTCGCCCCATCCGCCCTCTCCCGGGCGCGGCGGGGTCGCTGGGAGTCGGGCCCGAGGCCCCGAGGCCTGCGGAGCCGCCGTGACTCAGCCCGCGGCCTCCTCTGCCGGCTCCCGGGGCCGCGCCTCACCAGCTCCTGCTCTTTGTCCTTGTCCCCGGCATCCCGCCGCTCCTTCCCACTCGGCTTCTCGTCCGCGCCGCCGGAGGAGCTCGCTGGGGGCTGCTGGGGCAGCAGCGGCGCCTTGTCCCGGCCGCCCTCTTCCATCTCCGCCGCCACTGCCGGCCTGCTGCGCGCGCACCGCCCGTACCGCCCTGTTTCCCAGATGGCCTCGCGCTCACCGCCCACCGCGCCTCTCCTTCTCCAGAGCCCGCCTGCGACCGGAAACGCTGCGGCGACCCACCTACCCCAGTGGTCTGGGAGTCCCAGCCCTCCAACCCCGCCCTCGGAAGCCGCAGGAAAACTACAACTCCCAGCCTCCCGCGCGCCACAGGCACCGCCCAGCTCGGACCAGGGGTTTCCTGAACGCCGTGGGACTCTGCCACCTGGGTTTCGGGTGCGCTAGCTGAAGTGCGTGGTGAGCTGAAGCGGCGAGAGACCGCGCATAGGCTTCCTTGTAAGCAGTGTGTTTAGTACCCACCGTGACACCCCAGTTGGCTGCATGGTGGGACAAACAGACGAGATTTTTGAATCCCAGAATCTTGACTGCCGTCTGTGTAACCTGCCTAGCCCCACGGCACTGTGGAGTATTAACCTCATAACATTTCCCCCCCAGTTGAAGGAGAGTGCTCTAATATTACCATGAGGATGTGGCTAGCATCTTAAATCCACCTGCGGAGCCAGGTAGAGTAGAAATGAATAAATAACATAAAGTCCTATGCTCTAATGATAAATTCTGAAGCTAAAAACCGAACAAGATAAGGTCTTTGCCCTCAGTCTGTCTTTTGATCTTCCTCTCCCTGTTATGATTAGGAGGAGTGTGACCGATATTCTTTATGTCAGGACTGATTTTCAATGATATATTGTTCTCACAACCTTTTGAGTTTGGTAGGGTTGTGTCCATTTTATAGATAACATCACATAGTAAGTAGTGGACTCAAGATTTGAACCTTGATCTTTCAGTCTTCCAAGCTCTTGACTGTTTCTGGAATGCCTCAAAGTTTCTTCTTCAGTTTGGGCTATGTGTATGTATCTAGAAGGTGAGAAAAGAGGAAATAACTCTTCTCCTCTTCAACCAGTGGGAACACTCACCATTTGACCTGGAATATTATTTTATGGGATCTGAGGCATGAAAGAATGCAGCAAGTGTTTGTTTAAAAAAACACCTAGCACAGCAGTTAGCACTGAATGACTGTTGGCTAAATATTTGTATAGAGGCAGATGTAAAGGTCTGAAGCCCATTTAAACCCTGTTGCTCTTTTCCACTCAGTGCCTGGATTCTGAGGATGACCTTCCGTTTCCATTGCCCATGACTCCTGCAGCCCTGGTCTGCTTACAGAAATTGGGCAGTCCATAGCTGTTCTGCCTATTCTGTCTCTGGCTTCAAGATGTCCATACATTGTCATGCTTTCTTCAGTCATCTGTAGAGGTATTTCTCCTAAATCTCTCCTTTTTACATGACTTCCTTCTATCAGATCTCAGATTTTGTCTTTTATACCAGCCATATCCCAACCAGTAGGAGATGGGGTGATGTTGTGGCATAAAGCACAGGCTGTTATCGGCTGGTGACTCCAGATGAAGAATATATGAATGTTTGTTATACTATGTTTCAGCTTTTTTGTAGGTTTGAAATGTTTCAAAATTAAAAGTTGAGGGTGGGTGGGAAAACATAAGCTTTAGAGAGCAACAGACCTGGTGTTCAAAACCAAATTCTGCCCTTCACCAGCTGTAATACTTGGGCAAGCTTCCTAAGCTCTCTCAGCTTGGTTTCTTCCTCTGTGAAATGTGGGTAATAAAGTATCTCCCTTGTAAGTTTTTATGAGAACAAAATAAGACAGTGTATATAAAGTGCCTAGCGAGGTGCCTGGCAACTGGAGAGGAGGCCATTGTCATTTTCCAACTACCTCAGATCTGCAGGGCTGAGGTGAACATTATTGTCCCCTGTTCCCCACCTACAAGCACTCAAGCCCCAAGCCTCTCTAGCCAAATGCAAATGTCTGGCAGTTATTTTCAAGGCCGCGATAACACTGATGTCCTGCCTCAACCTTTATTTCAGTCAAATTGCCCTCCCAGAAGCAGTCCTTTCTACCATTTGGCCAAACTCCCAGCCTTGTGGCCAAATTGCTCTCCAATCAGGGGGCAGCCCATTACCTGTCCCTTCCTACCACCCTCCTTCAAGTTGCATCCACAAGCCAGCCATGCTGCCCCCAAACTCATAGCCTGTGCTATAGAGTCTGATATCTTATGGATGGCTCTACTCATCTGAGAAGCATTCAACCCAAAGCATCACTTACATAACACCAGAAGTGCTCCTGGCAGGACACAGCATTGTACTATTTCCACTGGGTTGCTACATTCTTCGTGTGATATTTTTCATAGTCAGATTGTACTGTGGCCCTTCTTACTGTTAATACCCAGGACCGACAGCAGATGTTACAATCCCCTCTATTTCATACCCGCTGCTACAACTTTCCTTCTCCAGACTCTCACCTTTCATTATGCCCCTTTCACCTACCCCCCTCTGATTATCCTAAACATTTCACCATTTCTGAACAGGCCCTGCCCCTTCAAGCTGATCAGCCTTTTCACATTGCTATTCCTTCTGTATGGAATGCCCTTCACTGTTTCAGCTAGGAAATTCCCCCATCCTTTGCACTCCAAGCTCAATATCATCTGTCTAGGAAGCCTTTCCTGTTCTGCCCTTCAAGTTATTCATTTCTTCCCTGTGCTCCTACCATGCTTGGTACCTACCTCTCCCTCCCTAGACTCTGAGCTCTTGGATGACAGGAACTGTGTCTTATTCATCTTTGTGCCCCTAGCACCCAAACTAATGCTTGGTTTCTGGTAGGCCTTGACAAATATTTGTTGAAAGAATGAATGAATGGCTTTGCATTCATCTTCAGGTCATCTTTGTGTATAATAATAGCCCACTGGGGGATCTCTTTGGAGCCCAGAGCTGTGCATTGGGAAACTACTAGGAGTCTCCATTTGTGAGTCATGATAGGTCTACTAAAACTGAACTTATTTTATGGATGATTCTCTCCAACTTGACATTTCCAGAGTGCTTCCAATTGTGAAATCATATTGTTTGGCATATGTTGCCTTATTGTGCATGGGAATTAGTCAAACTTCCCAATGGGACAGTGTAGGGTATGGCCCAGCATCTTACCAATAACTGCTCTCAAGTGTCCACCCAGGAGCACCATCTTTTGTTTCCCCTTCTGCCTGAACACACCAGAGCATATCACAGATGCATATTCATCAGCTTGGCAGGGCTGCTAAGGGTAAAGGTTGCATCTGTCACCTGATGTTCACCTTGCCTTGCCTCTGGAACCAAGCACCTGCAGAGTGCTCAACAAACAAGTGCTACCTGGCTTAATTTCAACTCAACATGTGCTTGGGCTTTCTGCAGCTGCCTGGTTGTCACATGTGCCTGGCCCAGGGGAGCTGGGTGGCATAGAAATGCACCTGCTGGTAATGGTCTCACTTGGAAGCGTGATAAAGCCCAGAAGACAGATGTCTATCTTGAGTCTAAGCTCTAGAAGACTAAATGGTGGTGCTTAAGAGCATCTGAGTTCCAAATCGGAGGATGTGAGTTCCAAACCTGACTTTAATACAATCTGTCTTAAAGTTAAAATTGGAAGTTATGTAATCTTTTTCCTTAGTTTCTCCACTTGTAAAATAGAGACAATGATAGAACATCCTTTTAAGTTGCTGTAGGAATTTAATGAGATGATGTTTTTAAAGTGCTCAGCAAAGGCTTAAGCAAAGAGGGACTTGGTAAATGAGAGCTGCTAATTATTATTATTATTATCATCATCATTATCCTTATCATTATTATTATTAGACACTTTGACCTTTTTGCAAATATGGAGTTTTAATGCCACAATGGCCAGCTGGTTAGCATCCTAAGCTGGTCTCTGAAATCAGGTGTCAAGGGAAGGGCAAGGCTTAATGCTGCCAAGCCTCTCTCCTCAGTCGTTATGCTCTCTGACATTATAAATTTCATCCTCTGTGCAACACCCAAACTTCACAAATCATTTCTTAATATTTCTTTGGGTTCTGGAATTTCCTAAGCGCATGAATTTTCTTCTTAAAACATTAAAGCTGATCTGGTCCTCAGAGATCATCTCATCCAATCCACTTATTTTACAGACTGCTAAGGATAATAAGACCTGAAGAGGGGCTGAGCCATGCCTAGTGTCACATAGCTAGGGGTGGCAGAGTGGAGCCAGAATCAGGTTTCCACATGTGATAGCCCTCCTCTTCCCAGTACACCTTGCTGTCCCTCCTGGAGTCATGCTCTCAGAAGCTCAAGCCACACTTTCCCTTGGTCTTAGAGCTCCCATGGCCACTTTGCTCCTCTCTGAGTAGCCAGCTGTTTCCTTCCCTTGGTGAGCAGCCAGCACTTCCCAGTAACTTGACAGGGGCCCACATACAGCTCTTTACGGGAACAGTCTGGTGCTGGGACAGGATCCAGACTGTGGGACACATGCTGGTGCCATCCCCCAGGGACCTGGGACCCCAGAAGCAGTCACTGCCAAAGCTTCACTCTTACCCTCCAAACTTAACAACCACCCCCCCACACACACAACTTACACCTTGGGGAACACTGAGTTTTCAAGAGAATTGAGACTGGACTGTTTCTCATCCTCTGGTTCTCATTTTACAATAAACTGAGGCTCATGGAGGTTAGGGAGCTGGCTGAAGCTCAGAGAGCTATCAGAGCTTCAATTTCAATCCAGGTCTCTTTGGCTGCAGTGAAGCGGTTAGGGTTAGACCTGTAAAATGGAAACCAGTGCACTTAAGAAGTATGTTGCTCTGAAGATTAGATGAGCTCCTGAAGGTGACAGTGCCAATAGAAGAAGAGTCACCTGAGGGAAGGAACTATCTTACTCATCTTGGCATCACCAGTGCCTGGCACATTGTTAGTAATCGATACACTTAAAAAAAAAATCTATGAATATATAAATTAATAAATGAATGAATAAAGAAATGAGCCACCTAACAGAGGTGACTGGAACATAAGAGGCATTCAGTAAAAGCTCCTTTTCCCTCTCTCACTCTGGAGGGCGGCAGCCATTTCTTCAGTCTCCATGCCTGGCACTTGGTAGGCCTCCATGAGTGTGTGTGGGTGGGATGAGTGACTCTCAGGAGCGCCGAGCCTTTGAGGCCATGCGGAAATGCATGTCTTTTCAGCCACAGCAGAGGCCCGTGCTCTGAGCTCCAGGGAGTGGCGTGCTACCTTGGCCAGGGCTTCCCTCCACTCAAGGGTAAGGCCACCCATCTTCCAAGCCAACCCTGGCCCAGTAGTTACCCAAACTCAGGGTTAGGCCCGGCTGCATGCACCAGTGGAGAGCAGTGGCAAATCCTTCAAGCTGTAGAACAGCTGGCGATGGGGACATAGCCACCACTAAGCAGAGGATGTACTCCGCCCAGCCAGACTTCAACTTCATTCCATTCCTCTATCCGGTCCTCTTAGAGCTTCAAATTTCAGTCCCCTGTGTCTAGTGAGTGAGTAAATGAGTGTCTAGAAGAGTGTTGGCATACAGTAGGTGCTCAATAAATATTGGTGGAATGATTAAATGAATAAATGAAAATAGGATTGAAGGAGGAGACAGGCTGACTGATGTGTGTCTGTTTATTGGCACAGGGTCCTACAGGGCCAAGACCACTCCCTCCCTACCCTCTTCCCTGTAAAAATAAACTCTGTCCTTCCCTCTCCCTGCTCTGCTTTCCTGCTTAGTCCAGGGAGGATGAGTCACCCCCTAAGACTTGCACCCCAGGACACAGGAATTAGCATCCCCTACACATACACACTTCCCCTCTGCCCAGGGAAACCAAGAGGCAGCAGGAAGGCTTGGAAAGGCCCTCAGGCTTCCACTAAGAGCTGAGCACAGGTGGTCTGTCAGTGAGGGTTAGCAGCAGTGTTGGGAGCAGCAGTATGAGGAACATGGGGGTGGGGGTGGGGCAGCCCCTGAGGCTGGGGCTCAAAGGAGCCGAGTTCACTCCCAAGTGAGCACTGAACGAGCCTCGGGGAGAAGCATGGGAGGCACACCATCCAGGCCCTTAATGATCAGAGTGTGGCAGGCACAGCAGGCCCCATGGCCACCAAGCTGAATGAGCTTGGAACCAGAGGAGGTGGACTCCTTCCTGTGGGAGCTGGTCCCCCCCACCCAGGCCTCCTCCAGGCAGGGTGAACATGGAAGGATGTCACAGTGAATGGTGGGGGCTCTGCTGGAGGCAAGGGCACCCCCAAAGCAGAGGCACAATGTGGTGGTTGAGGAGGGACTGGGACTCATGTCACCTGTGGTGTGGAGGGGCTGGACCCAGCCCAGCTGGCATTTGACTTCTCCAAACCCCAGAGCAAACAGCCTTGCTGGGCCAGCTGTCCCAGACCCTGGCAACAGCCAGCCATTTCTCCCCCGACCCAGGTCTACCACACCTCACACAGCTGCCCTGGGTTCATAGGGGAGCCGACAGGGCAGCCGAAGTGCCGCAGGAAGTCACGGGAGTTGGAGAGAGTGCCCAGCACACGGAAGCGGGCAGGGCTGTGGGGATCAGTCACCAGCCCCTCGTGAGAGCTCTCGGGTGTACGGACCGAGCACCACACCTGCAGGCCAGGACAGACATGGGGACATATGGTGTCTAGTGTGGGCAGGGCCGCAGACTTGGCTGCAGTAGATCCATCCCAGGGACACAAACCACCACTGCTCCAGCCCCTCAGCTCAGGAAGCCTCAGGGACACAGGAGGGGCTCAGCCAGCATCTCAGCCCCAACCCCTTGCTATTAGCACCAAGGGACGGGAATGCACCCTCCCTCCCGAATTCCCTGAAGGCCTTTCAAAGCTGCCCTGGAAGGGAGTTGCCCAGGATAGACACATCTGAGGGGAAGAAGCCCAGCCCTCAGAGGCTGCCTGTTGTAGGGCAAAGTACCTAAAGGAGACCCTGCCTGAGTCACACTTTGCCACTTACTTTATTCCTGGGTAGCCCTGGACGAGCCACTTTGTCTCCGAGCTTTAGTCTCCTCCTCCACAGCCACCTCACAGGAACATCATGAGGAACAATCCTGCTCCCCACCCTTTGCCCCTCAAGCAGGGCAGCCCTGCCCTCTGAGATCTGCAAAATCCTCCTGAAGAGTTCTCCCTCCTCAGGCCTCCTCACATGCTTTTGTGGGCCCCAGCCAAGAGGCTCGGGGCATGAGGCCTTCCCAGACCACCTTCCAAATCCCATCTTTGGCCCCATCGCCCAGTCCATTTCCTACATGCCCCAAGACTTCTAATGACATGCCCAGGGGGGAGTGGGAGAGGGGCAGACCCCGGGCCTCCCAGGAGAGCAATACCTGGGCGAATCCCACAAAGAAGAGCTGGTGGTTGGTGAGCCCCACAGCTGGCAGCCGCTGCTCCTCCCCATGCTTTCTCAGCCACGCTTTGTAAGCCTGGGGTCGGGCACAGGGGCAGCAAGTCCGTCCGGGCCTGCCCACCACCTCCACCCAGCACCCTTCCTCCCCAGGGCGGGTGGGTCTTAGCCACCAGACAGCTAGCTGGGCCACTCACGTTGTAGGCAGCCTTTAGCCCCCCATTGTCGGCGATGTTCTCGCCCAGTGTCTGGCGGCCGTTGAGCTTCTCGCCATTGACTTGGTACTGGCTGTACTGCTCCTCCATGCAGGCCGTGTGATTCCGGAAGGCTGCTAGTGACTCATTCTGCCACCACGGCCGCAGGTTCCCTTCCTTGTCATACTCGCGCCCTGAGGAGAACTAACCTTTGCACCCCACGGAGACCAGAGCTCAACCCTTGGGGGCAGAAGCGCCCCCATCAGCCCTAGTCCACAGACTCCAGAGTCCCTGGGGCCTGCTCCCAACATCCCAAGGCCCTGCGGGAGCCACTGGGAATTCTTGGCTAGAGGGGACAACTCCATGAGCCTCTACCTTGGTCATCAAAGGCATGTGTCAACTCGTGGCCCATCACCACACCGATGCCACCAAAGTTCAGGGCCCTGGTAGGTGAGGAATACTGAGTGAGGACATGGTGAGGGGACTTCTAGATCCCACCTCCAGCTCTGCTCCCAGCTCACCCGCAGGCCCAGGCCCCAGCACCCAGCCCCTCCTGCCTCAGACACACTTGGGGTGGTTGCGGGCGTAGAAGGGGGCCTGCAGGATGCCGGCAGGGAAGACAATTTCATTCTTGGTTGGAAGGTAGTAGGCATTCACTGTCTGGGGGGTCATGCTCCACCTAGGGGAGGGAGAGGGAGAGGCTGAGGCTCCTGACTCTCCTGATGCTCCTCCCAGCCCAGCAGCCCTGACCTACCTCTTGCAAAGACCATGTGCCTCTGGTTTGGGATCAGTCTTGCCATTCCCATCCCCCAGCCCTGGAAATCTCCCCCACCTCTCCTGCTGCCCCAAGTGTCTGTGGCCCCCACACTCACTGGTCCCGGCTGGGAGGCTTGCGGAGCTGGTCAGCCATCACTTTAGCAGAGAAGTTGTACAAATTCAACATATTCTGGAAGAAGGAATCTTCAGAGACTTCATACTATGGGAATGGCAGAAGGTAGGAAGCAAACAAGAGAACATGTTGGAGAGGATAATAGTCCCAGTTTGGCTACTAATTAGCACCTCTCTGAGCCTCAGTTTCCTCAACTGTAAAATGGGAGTAAAATACCTAGTATATAATAATTGCCAACATTTAAAGAACACTTATGTTGCAGGTGCTTTATTTTTTTACACATTGCCTCCTTTTATTCTCACAACAACCCTATGAGGTAGGTACTAATAGGACCCCCATATAGCCCCAGAGAGGCTATATGTCCAAGGTTACACAGTTAGGTAGGGGTAGAAACAGGATTTACTCAGGTTTGATTGCAAATCCCTGCCTGTTAACACTGCATTCTACTGCTGTCTGGTCTGCAGCCTGGCACAGAGCCAGCACTTGAGCAATGTCAGTTGCCTACACTTGCCTCCAAGGAACCAACAAGCACCTCCTCCCCTCCCAGGGCTTGAGCCCCGATTACAGAGCCCAGAGAATAGTGCCCCCCCAGGGGTGTCGCTGAAGTTCAGTCCTGGTGAGCAGAGGTACTCACCCCATCATAAACATCATCCAGCTCTTTGGGCTCCAGGATAAAGTCTGGGAAACCAATCATGTCATAGATGGCTTCTGCCTGAAAAGACCAGATGAAGGGTTTCCCTCCCCAGGCTCCCAAAAAATCCTGCCATGCCCACCTCAAGATGGCGCCCCAACCCTGGCCACGGCTTACTTTCTCCTTGGCTGCTTGGCGGGTCTTCTCATCCATCCAAACCAGCTGTCCCAGGGCATCCTCAAAGGAGGTCCGGATCTCGCTGATCATCCCCTCTGCCTGGGAGGGAGGAGGCACAAGTCGGCCTCCCACTCGTATTAATGCATCCTTTCTCCCCGTCCACCCTAGTGCCCCATCCCTGTCCTTGCAGGGGAGCGTGTGGGAGTGCCCAGACTCCTGAAATAAGGCTGAGCATCTGAGGAGGATGAGAAGGAAACATGATTTGTGAAGGTACTGGGATTCTGGTTGGATTTTTTCTAATTAATCAAAATTTTAGTTGACAATAAGTTAACTGAATTCATTTACTAAATTATAATTTAGTATAGCGCAGATTTTTATCTGATTATGAAAGGAAGGCATTAATAGCAGAAAATTTGGAAAATTGAGAAGAGTTGAAAAGAAAATAGACCACTTATAATCCCATCACTCAGAGATAACTCCTTTTAACATTTTGATTTCCTATTTCTAGTGTCTTTCCCTGCCTGGATATACATACAGAATATGGAATTATGTTGTGCAACATATATTTATTTTGCAACCTACTTTTTTTTCATTTAACAATCATCGGTTTTAAGGCTGCCTCATAATCCATCTTAACCATAATTTATTTTTCCAATCCTCTATGATTGGACATTTAAGCTGTTTCATTTTCCCCTATTATAAACAATACTGCCATAAACATCCTTGTAGCTAATACTTTAAGCACATTCATTATCATCTCCTAATAAATAAATATTATTTTTCTAATTATATAGGTAACACAAACTCATTGCAGAAAATCTGGAAAATATAGAAAACTTTAAAGGACAAAAAGAATCCCTCATAATCCCACCACCCAAAGTAATCATTGTTAATTTGTCGATGAATTTCTTTCCAGTTTTTTTTCCCCCCATATGTACACACAAATATGAACAGTGAATTTTAACTAAAACATGGGGTAGTGTTGGAAGGATCTTGAAGACTCACAATTTCCTTGCTTTGCCGGTCAAACGTGGCCTTCACGAAGAGGGAGCCCAAAGCGAAGCCAAGGGCGTCATCCGTATTGGAAATGCAGGTCTGCCACCTTGGCGTGCAGGACTGTAAGGGACAAAGAGCCAGGCCTCCCAGAGAGAGCTCTGTCCTCCAGTCTGAGGGCCTTTCTCTGTCTCTGGGGCCAGGCCTTCTCAGCTCTGGACCATGGAGGCCTGGATTTGGGGTGCCATTTCTCCCTCAGACTCCAGGGAAAATGAAGGGCAATATCACAAAGTATGTCAACCCCAGCAGTGAAACCTCAGGAGGAACTTGTGTGCCGCCCACTCTATTCTCAGCCCTCTCCTCCTCTGTAGTTTCTAAGAGGCCCACTGAGGTCCAGCTATTTGCTCAGCTCCACTTCTCAGTCTTATATCCAGACAGTCCCCCATGCCAGAAACCTGGGAGTCACCAGCTTCTTCCATCTCCTACCCCACATTCAATCTATGACCAGTTTCTACTAACTACTTCTTAATCATCTCCCGTCCACTCCATTGCCACTTCCCTGCCCTACAACACTGTCATCTCTTGCCTGAAGACTGCAGTGGCCTCCTAACTAGACACTCTGACTCCATTCTCATCCCCCTCCCCTGCCATTCCCCTCCATCTTCCATTTAGCTGCCAGAAGGATGACCTAATACATAAATCTAACTGGCTTACTCCTCTGTTTAAAACCATCCCTTGGTTCCCCATCCCTGAAAAAAAATCAAGGCCCGACTTCTTAACCCAGCATTCAGATCCCTTCATGGACTGCCCCAGGCCCACCTTACCACCCTCAGCCTGTCAGTTGCCCTGTTCTCAAGCTCATACCAGAACACAAGCAAACCCACCATGCTCTGAGGAGGATGGGAATTCTGGCCTCTGGGAATTTGCACATCCTGTTCCTTCTGCCTGGAGTGCCTTTCTCCCTTGCATTCTTGGTGAACTCATTCTTCAAATGTCACCTCTTCAGAGAAGCCTTTCCTAAAGCCCCTCATCCCCCCAGGTAGAATGTGCTGTCCTCACCTCTGTCCTATAGCACAAAGAAGGTCTTTCACTCAATATGAGCACTTATCACCCCAAAATACAATATGTTTGTTTACACGTCCACTTCCCCCACTTAACAGGGCATCTTAAAACTAAGAACTGCATTTATTCATCTTCTTCTTCACCATCACCATCAAAGCTGAGTACCTATACATACCATGCACTGGGTAGATGCTTCACTTATGTTAACTCAGTTAGTCCTTATGACAACCCTGCAAGATATTCCTGTTTTACAGACCAGGAAAAGAGAGTCAAAGAGGCTGGGGGACATGCCCAGGGTCCCATAGGCTAAAAGATGGAGAAGTTGGGATTGGAACCCAAGTCAGCTTGACTCCTAATCCTGGGCTCCATACTAAGCCCAGAGGCAAATGGTCCTGACACAGAGTAGGTGTGAAGCATTAGCTAGACTGGATCAGAAGATGGGGGCAGAATCAGAAA